TGTTGTGTGTGTGTGTGTGTGTGTGTGTGTGTGTGTGTGTGTGTGTCTGTGTGTCTGTGTGTGTGTGTGTGTGTCTGTGTCTGTGTCTGTGTCTGTGTCTGTGTCTGTGTCTGTGTCTTTGTCTGTGTCTGTGTCTGTGTGTATGTATGTTGATGTCTGTCCATTTGTCCGCCTCTCTGTCTGCTTCTCTGTCTGCCTGCCTCTCTATCTGTCTCTCTGTCTGCTTCTCTGTCTGCCTGCATATCTGTCTGTGTGCGCCGCATGTTCGGACAGCCGCGTGTGCCCATACCCATACTGCTGTTCCTCCCCAAGCGCTCATGTCCTCCCACGGTCCCATTAACTGCAGTCACTCATCGCCAGGAAGGAGGAGCTGCCCGGCTCCACGTTCAAGGCTGGCGCCGCTTCACGCAAGGCGACCGACTCAACGAAGACAAGGAGCAAGAAGAAGAAGCAGAGGCAAGACACGCAGAGCAAACAAGCAGGAACAGGTGAAGAACCCTCAGCCCCAGTAGATCATCAACAGCAGCAGCAGCAGCAGCAGCAGCAACAACAACAACAACAGCAGCAGCAGCAACAACAACAACAGCAGCAGCAGCAACAGCAGCAGCAACAACAGCAACAACAGCAACCCGTCATCATGGGCACAGAGTTTAGTCTGGCATTGGGCATCTCGTGTCGGGGTGGACGTATATCTGGCCAAGAGGTGATGGAGATCCCTCATGGCCTGCTGGAGCTCGCCAATCACTTCAAGGCCAACTCTATCCTCATCGAGGTGCTGGGACCTTTTGCCTGGCTCCCTCCCCGCGCTGAGCCACAAGGCGTAAGTGAACTGTGTGGAATTTGTTTATTTGTTTTGTGTGAGTCTGTGTGTGTGTCTGTGTGTGTGTCTGTGTGTGTCTGTGTGTGTGTGTGTGTGCGTGCGTCTGTGTGTGTAAACTGAGTAGGATTTGTTTCTGTGACCCCCTTGTGATTTGTGTGCGCGTACGAACGCTATGTGTGTCTCCAGCTCTCTTCTCATCCTTCTCACCCTTCTCAACATCCCCCCCCCCCCATCCCGGTCAACCACCTGCGTCAGATTGCTGACCCCGTGCATGTGCTGAGTGTGGGCGGTACGCTGAACTTCGCCTGCGGCGGCGGCGCGATGCGACCGTGTGGACCCGGCGAGTTTGCCAACGCCAGCGCGCACATGGACCTGCCACACGGGCACGTAGCTCGCTGGCACCACCGCAGACACGACTGCTGCAAGGTGGCGATCAGCGCAAACGCGGAGCGGCGCGTGCTGGTGACGCTTCGCCGCGTGGATGACAAACACATCCCAGGCAGCGTGGTTGCACGACGCACGCGGGAACGGCAGAAGCAGCTGACGGCGGTGTTGCCCGTGGACCCGGCCGCGCTCGCCCGCATATCCGCACACCAGCAGGAGATGGGGAAGGACTATTATAGGGGAGAGGGAAAAGAGGATGACCACGCGGTGGGTGTGAGGAAGAATGGTGATGGTGACAATGGTGATGGTGGTCGGCAGGTGCGCAGGCACGATAACGAGCAGCAGCAACAACAACAACAACAACAACAACAACAACAAGAGCAGCAGCAGCAGCGAGAAGAAAGGAAGGCAGCAGATGGGAGCGAGAATGCGGCGCGCACGCCTGCGTTGGAGCAGGAGCACGTGGTGAATTTGTACGACACCATCGCTGTGCACTGGGACAAGACGCGACACAAGCCATGGCCAAAAGTTGCTGAGTTTCTGGCGTCGCTGCCGCCTGGGAGCCTGGTTGCTGATGTTGGTTGCGGCAACGGCAAGTACATGGGCTTGCGCAAGGACATTGTCATGCTTGGCAGTGACCGTAGCGTGAACCTCTGTGACCTTTGCGCGCGCCAGGGCCACGAGGTCAGCATCTGCGACAACATGACGCTGGCATACAAGACGGGCTGCTTCGATGCTGTGCTCTCTGTTGCAGTTCTGCACCACTTTTCAACGCCCGCCCGCCGCAAGCGCGCAATGTGCGAGATGGCAGCACTTCTTGTGCCCGGTGGCTCCGTGCTCGTCCAGGCATGGGCACTCGAGCAGGTGAGGCAACGTGTTCCTGGAGTGGTCTGGTGTATGTTGTGTGTGTGTGTGTGTGTGTGTCTTGTGTCGTGTGTGCGGGTGTTGTGTCGTGTGTGCGTGTGTGTTGGATCGCATCGGAGCTCATGCTGACATACACGCTCCTCATCGCGACCACCATGATCATGTTTGTCCCCCCCCCCTCCCCCGCCTTACTCCCCTCTGTCCCGCCCCCTTCTTGTTCGAAGGGTGCAGAGTCACGGCGGGAGTTTCCATCCCAGGATGTGTTTGTGCCGTGGCAGCACAAGGGCGAGGAAGAGGAAATCCCAGCAGAGCAGCAGCTTGCACGCACCCGCCGCGCACACCCAATCTCAACCCCAGAAGACGCTGTCCCGGTCTACCACAGGTGGGCTGGAGTGAGTAGCGGTGTGTGTGTGCGTGTGTGTGTGTGTGCGTGTGTGTGTGTGTGTGTGCGTGTGTGTGTGCGTGTGTGTGTGCGTGTGTGCGTGTGTGCGTGTGTGCGTGTGTGCGTGTGTGTGTGTGTGTGTCTGTGTGTCTGTGTGTGTTGCACGACACGCACACTCCCCAAGTAGCTGCCTCACATGTACACACACACACGCACGTGCATACTATGTTCTTATTTGCCGCTGCCGCAGGTATTGCCACGTGTTCAGGCAAGGGGAGCTTGATGCCTTGGCGACATCGGCAGGACTGCACGTTGAGGACAGCTATTACGACACTTCAAATTGGTGCATTCGCGCAAGGAAACCGCTCGAGTCATAAAGCGTGTGCTTGTGTGTGCATGTGTGTGCTTGTGTGGACTGTGTGTCTGTGTTTGTGATGTGTGTCTGTCAGTAATGCTATACTTTTACCTTGTGACCAACTTCTTTGTATCAACGTTTGTTTATGCCGTTGCTGCTGGTGCTGTATACAACCAAGAAGTAACAAAACGGAGAGAAAACAGTCAACCGAAAGCTTGTGGTACGATAAATGTAAACGCGATAACGTGTTGGTGACAGCACACTCAAACAGCCATACCACTAAGCACATGTCTCCTGTAGAGCGAGTGCCAGCGGGTGCAGGTGGTGGTCGTCGTGGGAGTAGGTCACGGATGGCTCGAGAGGGAGGGGCTTGGAGAGTTGTGTCAAACCTTGCTGCCTGCATATGTCACGCCTTCAGATGTCGCACTTTCGCGGGCACTCGTGGTGCAGTTCTTTGTAGTCGTTGGGGATGGCTGTGACGCTTTCCGCAATTGGATCAAACGAAAACGCCTTGAACACGATCCGTGCACTCACCGTCGGTGCAACAGGAATGTCTGTCGTGCCCAAAGCAGGTGGAGATGCAGGCGGCGGTGAGTTAAAGTGACAGTGGTTGAGGTGGTTGGTTGCTAGCTGGTGTGAACACGCGTTCGCAAGCGTGCCACATGATGCCGAAACAAGTACACTGCGCAGGCACAATACTCACACAGATGTGTCCACACACGGACACGCACGCACGCAACACGCAAACGCACTGCATCCGCACACACGCAACACAATGCACATGGCACACATGCACACACCAAGCTTGACGGGGAAACCGGGCGGGAGTTTGTTCTGCAGAAACTTGACAAGAGTTTTGATGACGTCACTGTGCTCTTCAAACGGTGACAGCAGCGCAACAATTCGCTCAATCGTCAGCGGAAACTCAGGCGACATCCTGCGAAGGGGCGGCCGGGCGTGGCGCGCGCGTGTACAAGTGTGCGTGTGCGTGCGTGTGCGTGTGTGTATGTGTGTGTGTGTGTGTGTATGTGTGTGTGTATGTGTGTGTGTGTGGTGTTGATGTGAGAACGGGAGGTGTGGTGGTGATGTGAGAACGGGAAATATGGTGAACGTTTGTGTGAAGGGGGCGACTGTGGGTTGTAGTCATGTTGTAAACCAAGTGTGGGCGAGCAAACACAATGAGTGCACACACACACACACAATTACACACACGCACACATGCACGTACCAGAGTGTGCTGGTGAAGTTCTTGGTCTTTGTTTGCTCCTGGTAGGGGCTGGACAGCCAGTCCTTAAACGACTCTTCGTCCATGGAGGAGTACTCCTTGTGCGAAATGCGTCGCCGCTCGCGTTTTCGTGCCGTCTCCAATGGAGGCTGAAATGGGCATGTAGAACACGTGAAGGAACATGTTGGATCACAGTGAACCAAAGCAGTGTAAGGGATAATGTGATGTGATGTGTGTGTGTGTGTTTGTTTGTCCGTCTATGTGTGTGTGTGTGTGTGTGTGTGTGTCAGTGTTGTGTGTGATGGGACCAAGTGTGGTGAGCAGCGGTGTTTCGAGCCGTTGCTTACCGGACGCTTCTCCATGAGAGCCTGCAGATCAAATTCGCCCGACTGAAACTCCCGCTTCATCTCCTGGTGCCACCTGCCAGTGCACACACACACACACGTATGGGGAAATGCACGTGAGATTGTGAGCAACACACTGCAAACGGCACACACACATACGCACACGGCACACGGCACACACACGCACACGTACACGCACATGCAAACGCGCATGCACGCGCGCGCAGGCTGGGAGATTCACGATATTCCACGATGTTGTGCACACGTACGATTTGAGCTGCGGGGACAGGTGCTCCTTGCGCTTGCGGCTCTTGAACTGCACATTGGAGAGGGAGTACACGTCGCACTGCGGCAATCAAAACGCACACGAAGACGATGAGTTGGGCAACGCGGTGGAAGACACGTTGATTGCAGCCAAACGGCAGGTAAAAGCGAACCCACACTCAGGCAACACACACACATACGCACACACACACACACATACACACGCACACGCATGTACACGCAAACGAAGCACGAAAGTTTCGTTACAACTGCAAGGTACTACCTGGTAATCGCCAATGGCTTCGACGCGGGGAGAACCAAATCCAAAGATGCCTGTCATGGCGTGCGTCACGGCGCTGTTGCGGGCTGCAGGGCATGTGTGTGTGTGCGTGTGTGTGTGTGTGTGTGTGCGTGTGTGTGTGCGTGTGTGCGTGTGTGCGCGTGTGTGTGTGCGTGTGTAAGTCGGGGTTGGAGTTGTGAGTGGGTCGGCCGCGGCGTTGCGTCCCATACGGGCAAACGGGCAGACGTTGAGGAAGGGTCACCAGTAGGCAAGACGAAGACACGCACGTGGAGACAAGAACGCAACATGTGCATCAACACACATGAACACACATCATGCACACGTGCAGTACACAGTTGCCCACACACGCATGCGAAGCCACCCCACCGATGATATCGATGTCGACAAGCGGGGTGCTGAGTGCAACAGCGTGCTTCAAATCAGCATCTGCCTCATCGTCCGCCTAAATATCAACACACGCACACGTGAGCTGGATGTGTCATACCACACACGCATGCACACACACACAGAACAAAAAAAACACACACACACGCGGTTTGCTCGACCCATGTGCACGCAACCACGCCTTATTCATGCCATGCAATGCATAAGACACGCACAGGCAGACACATACACACACGCACACGTGCATCGCATTCCATCAGCAAAGCGACCAGAACAACTGACGTCCTTCTCGGTGCCCGGCTCCTGGTCTGTGGGGAGGGCGAGGTGCTTCGTGTACACTTTGTGCTCGTGGTCCAGCCGAAACATCACAAGCTTGTCTGCAGGGACGCGCATGGTTGGAGACGGGAGCAAGCGGTTATTGGGAGAGTGTGGGCGTGTGGGTGTCTGAGTGCTCACACGGGTACACGCATGTATACACACAAACACACTGAGTGCTCACACGGGTACACGCATGTACACACACATGCATGTACACACAGGCACACACACGTACAACACGCACCATCTGCGGAGGTGGGGATTTGGATGAGCGTGGTGAGCTGCTCTTTGGTCATGCCACCGTCGGCAATGTCGATGAGCTCACTGTCCACACGAACGACGTGGTCACGCTTCCAGATGCGAAGCACATCATGTGGCAGCAGCCTGCTGACCAGCGGCACCCAGCTGTGGAACTCCCACTCAATCTCGAGGTAGAAGTCCTTCATCTCGCTGCACATGGCGTGCAGCTTGTCTTTGTGTTTGGTCATGTCCTCACTGCGAAACGATGTGTGAATGCGAAGTGAGAGTGTGCGTGTGTGTGTGTGTGTGTGTGTGTGTATGTGTGTGTGTGTGTGTGTGTGTGTGTGTGTGTGTGATGTGGGTGCGTGAACGTACGCGATGTGTTTGTCAGTGTCCACAAGGGATGAGAGCAGCCATCCTTCTGATCACGCTTGAACAACATGAGTGTGTATATGTGTGTGCACATGCTCACCTTGTTTGCTTCTGATCCGCCATGACGATGGCTTTGACTAGGATGGAGTGTATGTGGGGAGATTGTTTGTTTGTGCACATGCATGAGCAAAGTGAGCGAGGCTTAAAACGTGACATGAGACGGCATGAACCAGCCACACACTCACGCACACACACACAAGGCATTTCTTACAACAATGGTGCAGCTCAACGCACTCAGTTTGGAAAAGCCGAGGCAGACGGCCTCCGCCAGGACGTCCCAGCCGCATGTGTTTGTCTTTCGCAGGTCTGCTCCGCGAGACAGCAACTGCAGGGCCAGATCTGGTGTATTGAAGCGCAGGTTTGAGTATGGAATCACGCAATTGGGAAGGAGAGGGAGAGGGGGAAATAAAGCCGTGTGCTCGAGCACCGTATTCACAGACAGACGCGCACACGCACACACACGCACACACATCCAAACACGCATACACACGCACACATGCACGCACGCACGCACGCACACATACACACACACACCTTCTTTCTCGAGGACGACAGCCAGCATCAATGGCGTATTGCCTGTGAACACATATGCCACGTCATAGTGTGATGTGGTGAGGTCTTGCTGCGGTGTCCAACGACGCCGTGTCTTCTTGCTGCAAGGGAACACACACACAGACTCAGGCACACACCACACACACACACCACGCACCAAACACACATCATGTCACACACCGTGCTTGTCCTTTGTGTTGAGCTGCTTCTTTGTGAGTTTGCTGAGGACTGCGTCGTTGCCGTCAAACACGGCCCTGACCACCTCATCATCGAGCACCTCCGTCGACGTCTCCTGTGCGCCCTTGTTGTTCTTATCCATCCTTGTTGTTGTGATCGCTGTCGCTGAGATCACGCTTCGTTGTTCACTTGCTTGCTGCTGTTTGTGTTTGTGTTGGAAAATGAATGGCTTGCACCGTCTTTCTTTGATGGCGCAATTCCACGATGACGATGATGATGATGACGCATCGTCCAGCCTTCAACAACTTTAGAACTTTGGCTATTTTGCTTATTTTGGGTTTGCTTTGGGATGACGTCTTGAAATGATGATGTGATGATGTGAGGAGACTGAGGAGAGAACTGGCATCATCAGCAGGCACGCTGACGTGTACATGATGTGACGTGGAATGAAGGGAGCAGAGTGACATGAAGAAAGGAAAGAAACTAGAAGAAAGGTAAAGAAAGAGCAAGAGAAGGGAAGCGCTGAAGCGGGAAAGAAAAAAAAAGAACAAGGGTCAGAAAGAGAAAGGGGAAGGAGAGGGCGAAGTGCTGAAGTGCTGAAGCGATGGATCTCTAAAAGTTCTCGTGACTCACTCACTGTGTTCTTCTGTTATATGCTGTACATTGATGTCCGGTGCGTGTGTGCAATCCATCCCACCGCAGCCATATTAACCCAACCCAAGATCTATGGAGCAGCAGGGCGGCAAGGTTGCTTGTTTGCATGTCACTGGACAAGGACATCAAGACATCAATCTTAATCTCTGCGGCTGCAGTACTGCAGCAATCAAGACATGCAGAGGAACGAACAACTGAGGACACTGCTCCTTCGTATGCCCTATCATCACGCCTTCTGTCTTCTGTCGTTGGCAGCTGTCATAGGCAAGAACACGAAGGTAGAAAGGGCAGGGCGAGATGCCATTATAGGTTAGGAACACAAGAGGGCAAGAGCACGCTCCCCGCCTCGGGTTGATAGCCGCTTCATCCCCACAGCTTTTTGTTCTTCTGTCTTCTTCCGCATGCTCTCCCTCCCTACCTTCTCCCTCCATGGCCTTTTTCGCTCGCCTGAAAAGCACAAGCTCTAGAAGCTGCAAGACAAGAGTCAAAGAGTCTGAGTGAACGAACGCTGCCTTGTCCTTGTCGGGGCTGTGCAACTGTGCAAGGCAACTGTGTTTGTTCACATTACACCTAAGAGACAAGTGACGTGAGCCCGTGACATTAGACGGCCTAGACGGCCTCCTGATCATAGTCATAAGGATCACAAAGAACGATCACAACGATCACGGGAAAACGGGGAAAAGGGAAAAGCAGGAAGCTACTCAGCTAGGAAGGGAACTCATGTCTCTAGATGCTGTCTCAGCGTCACAGTCAGACTGTCACTGAACAAGAAGACAGGACCACCCTTCAGCTTCTTCGTTCATCATTAGCGCTGCCTGCACGCACGGCGGACATCAAAACAAACAGAGAGTTTAGTGGAAATTGCACATTTTGGACAGCAACGGAAACAGGAGGGAAGAGATGAGCGCCCCCTCGCAACTGTCAACGGCGTTCACGCTGAAGCTCGGCTTTGACGTGCAGCCGGGTTGTGTTGCCGTGGGAAGGCTGGACGGCGTGCACCCGTGCCTTGTGTGTGCGGCACCGGGTGGGAAAGTGGTGGTTCACAGCCCACATCACGCCAAGGGAGATGTCCAACATTCCAAGAAACGCTCAGACATCAGTGTGCTCAGATTCAACAGAGAGGTGTGTGGCTGTTGCTGTCGATGCTGCTGCTGTTGCTGCTGCTGCTGCTGTTGTTGTTGTTGTTGTTGTTGTGCATCAGTGTGTGGTTGGTGTGTGGTCAGTGTGTGGTGTTGTTGTGTTACATTACACACATACACACACACACACACACACACACACACGCACACACACACACACACACACACACACACACACAACCCCCAATTCGCCGTTTGCATCATCCCTCTCCGTGTTTTGCATGACACGATCCCCCCTCAAACCACCAAGGTGACCCGACTGTGCTGTGGATCGCTGGAAGCGAGCGGCGCATCACAGCAACCTGATCTTGTGTTCGTGGGGTCTTCGGATAACCTGACTGCCTACGACGTTGTCAACAACTGCGACAAGTTCTCCGTTGAGGTGTGGCAGAGCATCGTCATGTTCGTTGCGCTCGCGTCCTTGTGTTCGTGTGCATGTTTGTGTGTATGTGTGTGTGGTTGTGTGGTTGTGTGGTTGTGTGGTTGTGTGTTGTGTATGTATGTATGTGTGTGGAGTGTAGTGTGCGCTATTCGTGCGATGGCGCGCGCTTGACGCACGCAGTATGCAGCATGTGCTGTGCATGGCATGATGCTTCTGGCGGTTGCTGTAATCGTCTGTGCGCACCTCCATGCACATGAATGGGACATACTCCCTCGCGCCCAGTGCACGTGCATCTTCATTGGAGTTTCGCGGCTCTGACAGTAGTAACACGTGTTCATCGCATTGCACGTTGCCCAGGCCGCAGATGGGTGCTCGGCCCTGTGCATTGGGAAACTGAAGGACAGCGATCCACTCGTGTTTATTGGCGGGACATGCTCCATCTACGGCTATGACGCAGATGGCAACGATCAGTTCTGGACGGTGAGATAAGGCCCTTTACCTGCATGTGTTCTCGTGCACGTATCTAATGACTCGTGAGCTCGACACACGCACGCAGCTATCAATCGTGACAGCGTGCATTTGCATGTCTCAAGCACACACACGCGAAAGTGTTCACACACACACACACACACACACACACACACACACACACACACACACGTATTCGTGCATGCTCGCGCACACGAACGTAGGTGACGGGAGATGATGTGACGGCCATGGCCGTTGGGCCATTCACCACTGGCGACGCAGAGGTACGTTTACCGTGCGTGTGAGTGTGTGCCCAGCACGGAGAAAGTGTGTCGTTCTGTTTGTACGTCTTATATCCCTTCCTACATAAACCCCCCTCCGCTCTACATCTACACCAACATCATCGCCGTCACCACCATCATCACCACCATTCTCACCCGAGGTTGTTGCAGCTTGTTGTTGGCTCTGAGGACTTTGATATTCGCTCCTTCAACGCGGATGCAGAGCTCCTCGTGGAGATTTCAGAGCGCGACGTACGGTGTCAAACACACACACACACACACACACACACACACACACACACACACACACACACACGCACACACACACACACACACACGAACACTCACACACACACACACACACGAACACTCACACACACACACATATGCGCACGTTCACATGTGTTTGCGTGGTTTGCTGTGGGGTTTCGCTGTCCTTATGGAAGTGCCTTGCACGCTGTTGAGATTCTGTGTTTCACACTGCTGCCACACGCGCGGATCTCACGCAAGTCAAATGTTTACATCACCACACAACCCATGCCCATCTCGTGTGCTTGCACGCATTTGCTTGCGCAGGCCATTACACAGCTCATTCGTTTGTCCGGGCAGCGCTTTGCGTTCTCACTCGCAAACGGAACTGTGGGCGTTTTCCAGTCGTCCACACTCCTTTGGTCACACAAGGTATGTCATGTGTTGCACGTGCTGTTGAGTGCGCGTGTGCTTGCTTCTGTATGCCGTGTTGTGTGTTTCTGTGCGATGCGCACATGTCCACGCATTCACACACACACACACACACACACACACACACACACACACACACACACACACACACACACACACACACACACACCACATACGCCACACATGCGCGTGTTGGCAGACAAAACACCAGGCGACGGCGCTCGCTGCGTATGACATCAACTTTGACGGTGTGCCCGAGCTTGCTGTTGGATGGGCAGATGGACGTGTGGATGTGTTCAATCCAAAGACCGGTGATATCATCACCTCACAGTCGATGAAGGCTGCAATTGCCGGCCTGGCCGTGGTGAGCCGTGCAGCAGCGTGTGCTGTGTCTGTTGCACGCTGCATGCCTGCCATGTGCACGTTGCACTGTTCGAATACACTCGACGTTGCTGCCTCTCCTCATCCCGCAGACACACACACACGCACACATACACACACGCGCACGCACACGCACACACACACACACACATACACACATACACACATACACACGCACACGCACACGCACACGCACACGCACACGCACAATCCTCCAAACAACGTCACCCTCCCCCTTTTTTGTTTTGGCCAGGCTGACTACCGCATGGAGGGCAAGGAGACGTTGATTGCGGTGTCCATTGACGGGCGCGTGTGCGGTTTCTCCATTGGGATGCAGCGCGATCAGCGTCACACCGCCGCTCCTGTCGTACAGGAGGACTTGTCCGCTCGCCTCAGGCTGCTCCAACAGAAGAAGAAGGTGCGCGCACGTGCACGTGTGTTGCGTGCGTGTGCACGTGTGTTGCGTGCGTGTGCACGTGTGTTGCGGTGCTACTTGTGGTGTGTTTCTTAACATGGCCTCCTGTGCCCACCACGCATCTTGTAATCCCCATCTTATCTTGTCACCCACCACCCACACATGCTTTGTCACCACACCCTCTCCTCCATGTTGCAGGACCTGCAATACCGCCTCTCAGCGTTGAGTCAGCAAACGGCAGGAACGAAGCGGAAGCAGCAGCAGCCGTCAGAACAGGACCACATGATCATGGCCACACACATCACCACAGGTGTGCGCGTGTGTACGCGTGTCTGTGGGTATGCGTGGGTATGTGTGTCTGTGTGTGCTTACATATGCAGATGTGTGCGATTTGGTGCAAGAGAGGATACTGTTTGGGTGTGTGAGACGTGACATTGGCAAGCACACACATCCCCGTGCTGCTTAATTTTTTTATTTTTATTTTTTGTTTCGCAGAGCTGAAGGCGGAGGACGGCAAAGTGATTCTCACCATCGCCACCTCGTCCGGTACGAGTGGGAGAAGGGAGTGCAGTGGGCGGACTGTGCAGGTGCACATCGGTTCCTGCCGAATGCACATGGGAACTGTGACCACCCTCTCGTATTCACACACATGTCGCACTCACAACCACACACACACACACACACACACACACACACACACACACACACACACACACACACACACTACTCACACACACACACACACACACATACACACACACACACACACACACAACCATACGTTTGTAGGCGCGCCCATACGCTCTGTTGTGCTCTTCGCTGACGGCCTCTTTGAGGGCGAGTCGTACGTCATGCATTGTGCTGAGTCAGCAAAATCCGACATCACCATCAGTCTCGTGCCGCCGCGGCTGGAGGCGTTTGTCATTGACGCCAAAGTGCTTGTCGGCCCGCCTACAGCGTAAGCAGAAGCAGTAACACCAGCAAGCCAACAACACACAGCTGCTCTTGTCTTTGTGGGCGTGATGACTCTTCATGTGTGTGCGATCTGTGTGCGTGTGAGCGTGCGGTTGTGGGTACGTTTATCCGTGCGCGTGTGCATGTTCGTCTGTGTGCATAGGTGTTGTCTGCTTTGTTCTTGTGCTTGAATGGGTCTGACACTCGCTTACATTTGCTGGTTTCATGGTGCATGCTTTCTTACACTCCGTCATCCCTTCCCTTTCCATCCCTTCACACCTTACCCCAACGCTACGTATCGACATGCATCGTTGCAACAGCACAAAGCTTGGCGTGTGCGAGGTGCGTGTGCATGTGCCCAAGTTTGCGTCGTTCCACCGCGCAGATGTACCGGAACCCACGGGCGCCGTCACCTTTCCACTCCAGGCAGCGCAGACTGATAAGGTCCTGCGATGGTTGCAGGCAGTGGTTGTTTGTGATCGTCGAATGTGGCTGTGTCATGTTTGAAGTGTGGGTGTTTGTGGTTGTTTGTGGCGTTTCCTTGATGCCGTGCTTGTGAGATGCTGTCACGCCCCATGTTGCTGGCGCATCATCCGTTTTCCTTCACACCGTTACCCATTGTGCAAACACGGGCCCAAAGCGTAGCCCACGCTCACGAACTTTTCATGAACACGACCACACACACACACACACACACACACACACACACACACATACACACACACACACATACACACACACACACACATACACCCACACCATGTCTTGCGCAGGTTGTGGCGTGGGTGAACAAGCACTTTCTCCTTCCGTCGCCCGTGACAGGCCTTGTCCCACCAATTGGGTTCGCCTCCCCATCAGGCTCCATCTACCTCGTCCAACACGGCAACAACGTCCGTCGGGACATGTGCTGCTGTTGTCTGTGCTGGTGATGCTGCTGTTGTCGACGATTTCGGGTGTGCTGCGTCTGAATATTCTTCGGAAAACACTCAACCCTCCAAACACACACACACATCCCCCGTGCAGCTCGTGATTGGTGCGGATCGCGGCGAGCTCGCGTCCATCCTCCTCCAATCCCTCACGTCCGAAGTCAAACTTAAGGCGGTGCGTGCGTTGACTGCAGACATGACTCGTGCCAACAGCGTTGGTGGCTTAACAACAGTTGTGGGTGTCCTTCCATGGCTGATACTGGTTTGTGCCCAACCACCTCTCACTTACTCACACACATTGGCCTTCATACAATCACACACACACACACACACACACACACACACACACACACACACACACACACACACACACACACACACACACACACACACACACACACACACACACACACACACACACACACACACACACGCAACATACGCACGTTAGGCGGAGTCGGCCAAGTCGACGTTTCCATCACAACTTGAAGAGCTGCAGGACACGCTTCGCAGCGTATCAGACCTGCACGCCGCGCGCCAGAAGCTGTCTGTTGAGATTGCCGACCAGAGCAACCTGGCCAAGAGCCTTCTACTCCGCGCTGAGGACTATCGCATGATGGGCAACTTGTACGCCTGACATTTCCTGTCGTGCGGCTGCTGTGTGCGCGCATGTGTGTGCTTTTTGAGTGAATGCTGTTTGTCACGAGGTGCGCGCGCACGTTTGGTGCTCCTACTCTCGCCGCTCGCGCCACTCACGTGCTTTGCTTTCTTCACCACGACGGCCACCGCCACCATCTCAGTGCGATGATGCGGGGAACGTACCTGCAGCTGGGGGACGTGAATCGAGATCTCATCAAAGCGTACAACATCCGCAACTCCAACTACGACGAGCTTGTGCGTCAGCTCAAGGCCCTCAATCAGTTTATCAGCAGAACCGCTGACCTCTACGGTGTGTAGTGCATATTGCCTTTGCGCGCGCGCGCGCGCGCGCGTGTGTGTGTGTGTGTGTGCGTGTGTGTGTGCGCGCATGTGTGTGTGTGAGCGCGCACGTGTGTGCGGGCGTGTTTGTTTGTGATTTGAAAGTGAGTCGTGTGGTTGCTGGTTACTTCTACTACGATCTCATGCGTGTGTCCATCATCCTTCTGTGCGTATTTGCAGTGGGCAAAGCTCGAACAGACCTGATTGCGTCATGTCGCGCTGCCATCAAAGCAAACGACATGGACCAACTCTTCAACTTGCTCAAGTCAGGCGCAACAGCGTCACCGTCATCACCATCGGCAACTGACGTCTAGAAACTGTGCGTGTGTGTGTGTGTGTGTGTGTGTGTGTGTGTGTGTGTGTGTGTGTGTGTGTGTGTGTGTGTGTGTGTGTGTGTGTGTGTGTGT